AGTCAGACTGCCAAAGAGATGCTTCTGGCAAGCTCCACACCGGTTGATAAGTTTTTTAACTTCATGTAAAGGTCTTATAAACCTCATTCTTGGCCATTACCTATCATTTAATTTTTTTCTCCATTGCACTATCTACATTATTTTTTCTCATCCTTTTAAAAAATGGCAAAAATAGTATTTCACAGTTCCTAGCTTACCATTGCATATTAGACCAATTACGTGGATCAACTGGCAGAAATTTTCTTGTGTTGAGGTTAGTCACTGGATCAATATAACATTGCCCCTCAACATCAACTGTGCTCTGAATTCAGAAGTATGAGCATGTGTCAAGCATTCCATGAAAGCTTTAAGTATCAGGCTGAAGGAGTGAGCCTTTCCCATTTATAGATTGCAAAGGAACAGTCTCTAGGTAAGACAAATAAAGTTGAGACAAATTCTGATAAGTGTTTTGGTTGAGCTCCCCTTGGGGAAACTACAGGGTCTGATGGTTGCTATGTGCAACCTCATTAGGGTGAATGTCAGCTGTGCACACTTTTGTTGATGAAATTCAATGTCGATAAATGCAAAGTAATGTACATTGGAAAACATAATCCCAACTATACATATAAAATGAGGGAGTCTTAATTAGCTGTTACCACTCAAGAAAGAGATCTTGAAATCAATGTGGATAGTTCTCTGAAACAATCTATTCAACGTGCAGCTGCAGTCAAAAAAACAAACAATGTTGAGAATTATTAAAGGGATAGATAAGACTAAAAAATCATATTGCCTCTCTATAAATCCATGGTATGCCCACATCTTGAATACTTTGTGCAGATGTGGTCTCCTCATCTCAAAAAAGATATATTGGAATTGGGAAAAGGTTCAGAAAAGAGCAACAAAAATTAGGAGTATGGAACTAACGGCTTCTGTATGAGGAGAGTAATAAGACTAGGACTTTTCAGCTTGGAAAAGAGGCGACTGGGGGGATATGATAGAGGTCTATAAAATCATGACTGGTGTGGAGAAAGTAAATAAGGAAGTGTTATTTACTACTTCTCATAACACACGAACTAGGGGTCACCAAATGAAATTAATAGGCAGTAGGGTTAAAACAAAGGAAGTATTTTTTTTTCACACAACACACATTCAACCTGTGGAACTCTTTGCCAGAGGATGTTGTGATAGCCAAGACTATACCAGGGTTCAAAAAAGAACTAGATAAGTTCATGGAGGATATAGGTCATCAATGGCTATTAGCCAGGACGGGCAGGGATGGTGTCCCTAGCCTGTTTGCCAGAAGCTGGGAATGGGTGACGGGCTGGATCACTTGATGATTACCTGTTCTGTTCATTCCCTCTGGGGCACGTGGCATTTGTCACAGTCTGAAGACAGGATACTGGGCTAGATAGACCTTGGTCTGACCCAGTATGGCCACTCTTTTGAAATTCACCCAGGAACACAGGTGGCCACAGAAAGTCCCCCCAATGCAGAACTGTTGTGGTTACACTACATGTGAATGGGTAACTTCAGTTGGGTGCACAGAGTACACTGTACCTCCTGTATGTGACACAACTGGGTTCCACACTAGCTATGCATAGGCCACTATAGAAAGGGGCTTAAGGAATGGGCCAAGGAATGGAAAAAGTCCATGGTTACATATATCTAGTGGGCATGGCCAGGAATGTTAGACCAATGTGCAGGAATCACAGGGTCTGGTACAGCAACTGCAAAGAGGGTATGTATCTACTCTGGCCACAGGTTGGGATGTTTGTTCTGTAACCCCTCCCCTCCCCACTGTGCCTCTATTTCCCCATTTTCCAGATGGGAATAATGATACTGGTCTTCCTCTGTAAAACACTTTGATATTTATAAAAGCACTAAATATTGTTGGCTTTTATATTTGTTTTTAAAGGAAATTACCAAAACTAGGACTAATGAAAATGTTCTTGTCTGATTTCCAATTATGACAACTCCCTGTTGTGGATTTAAACCTCCCCCTAGCAATGTTTGCAAAGCTTTTTGTGGGCAGGAGGACATGTAGTTTATCTAGGGGCCTGATCCTGCAAAGTATTACTCATGTAGCCATTATGCCCAGGGAAAGAAGTAGAAGAACTTTCATGTCAAGTGAAAGTTTGCCTGAGCTCATGTGTTTGTAAAGTGCTGTGTAAATTTACAGAGCTATGTGTGTTTCACTGTAATAACTGAGACACTGGAACATTGTATGTGTGCATGGGACTCTGAAGGTGAACTTGACTGCTACTTTAATTGTCCAAGCTGATCAGTGTAAAAATATAAACCACATGAAGATTAAAAGTCATACAGACTATTCAAAGTGCTTTGTATTCTAACAAGAGGATGGTAAGGGGAATTTGAGTGGTGTTTTAATTATTTTGAGCCTTAATGTCCTGATTTAAAAAGAAACATTTACTTTGATTTCTAAATTGTGGTATTATATTTTACATTCAGACGAGACCTTTACAGATGAAGCCCTGTCTGAACATTAAATATCTCCACCATTTTGCATAAGTGGAAAAGATTCTTCCTATCCAAAATTCCCCTTCTTTCCAAACTACTGCAACAGTGCTCTGTGCTGCTGGCCTAGCTGGCTGCTGATTTTCCTCACTAGGTGGCTGCCTTTCAGTGGTACATTTATATGCATAGTTTGCAAAGCATGCACTGATCCTTGTGGAAGGAGGCTGTAGGAATGAACAGATAGGTATTGCCGAGGTCGCACAGACCTTTCCTAAGACCCAGCCAGGTACCAGCAGTAGGACATGTTGAGCTCTTGGTGGGATAAGGGTTGTTGTGAAAGTACGGAGATGATGGTGCACATCCACATATTACCTCAATATTGGTGCTGCCTATAACAAAATACATTCCATACATTGATGGAAAAAATTGGAGGGAACACTGCTCCTCACCCTTCCAGGTGTGTAGAGGGGATTCTTCAGGGTTAAAGGAAATGGTATAGAACACGGTGCCTAGGTAGAACTGCAGACAAATGCATGGGAGCTCTGTGCTAACTTGTTCGTATTTGGGGACAAAGCTGGCTCATCAGAAACCTTGCTAACACTGTATTCTGTTAGAAACAAAACCTGAACAGTGGGCTACACTTGAATATTCCAGCTCTCTCAATTTCTCTATCCATGTTAACCATATGCATTATTTCACATTGCAGTTGATTAATGAGGTTTTATGTCATTACAGGGATTTGGTGCAGAGAGAAAGATTCGTCAAGCTGGTGTTATTGACTAACTGATCCATAAAGCACATAACTAAGTACGATCAAGCAGTGGGAGCTGGTGAAGGGTACTGAATATCTCCCTATTCATCCCTTCCAAATTCTAAGAAGCTGTTACACCAGTTTTAACACCTTCCTCATGTTATGTTTAAAAAATTTATGAAACCATTTTAAAATTATGCACAGTTGCATCCTGAAGACTTAAGGTGGCGCCTTATAGTATCACATTTTAGACGCTTTTTGAATGGTGCATTTAACGCAACTGGTAACTGCAAATCTACATTGCCTATGTAAGTGAACATTATAGACAGTTCTACTCTGGTAGACCTTATGAAATTCTGCACTAAAAAGATATATATATACTCTACCTTCATTATTTCTGCCAAGGTGTTACTATGCCTTAGCTCTCAGTTGCATTATCTTCCCCTCCACGTGGGAGGCTCACTTCCTGTTTGTTCAGATCTAATTCTGAGGACCATATGAGGGTGGACTATATTAACTTTTTTTTATATAAATCTGTATGAGCATTCAGATAACTTTATTAAGTTGATGGCCAAATGTTACAATGTTGTTTTCATATCTCATTTAAACTTGAGTCCAGGTAGGAAAGTTCTGTTAGATCTCGGTGAAAGTACCTTCCAGAGTAGATCTGTTTTTGTAACTTTCTGCAAATAGTATGTGCAGTGCAGAATTTCAGAAGGATGAGGTGTGCCATCGGTGTGGTAATTTAAATATATAAAACAATGCACAAATGTTGCTGCTGCTTAGAACACTGCAGCTTCTAAACCCAGTTTCTTTTACCGATTTAAATTTAAAAATTGTGCCTGAAGTGAATACATTTTTCTTTTTGCAGCCAGCACCCAGTGTACTGTAAAAGAATAAATACTTAGGCTTTCCATAGCTGTATTGAGATTTTCATCAAGGTGAAATAGTTAATGTCTGTGTGTCTTTTTTTCCCCAGTCACACTTTATCAAGCAAGAAAACTGAATGATTGGTCTAAGTATTACTTTAACCAAAAAGATCAGGAGTTATTTTCTTTGAATAGAGGGCAGTACTGTGTTTTTTTTTCCCCTCCATATTACCTCTATTCTCAATTTAGGGTTTTTCTTCTCTGGGAGATGCATTATCTTTGTGAAACAAACATTGCTTTCTCCAATTTTCTGTTAATGGCAAAGAATGGAAATAGAATAAAGTTTTACTGATTTTGAAAAAAAAATGCCTCCAGTTTTGTCTCAACGTTCACATTCTGTGCTCAAGGTATCTTAATTCCCAAGCCTAATGCTCAGTTAGCTCTCTTATTTCGGCATCAGTGCCCAGCAGTGCCTGCTGGACTTATGAAGTAGGGGTTGGAGCCTCTCACCAGCACCAGGGCGTTCACATTAAGTGGGGCAGTTTAACGCCGGTGCTTTCTGATGCAGTCCCCGCCTGCACACCCCTCAGGCTCATGGCGGCGGCAATAGAACTGCCCAGTGCATGGCAGCGCCGCCCTCGGCCGGGAGCAGCCCCCGGGGCGGGCGCGGCCTGCGCCGGCCCATGACTCGCGCCAGGCCCTGCAACGCTCCTCAGCCGGGAGCCCCGCCCCCCTGGGCCGGCCGGGCCTCGCCGCCAGGGGCTGTACAACTTCCGCTGCGCCTGGGCCATGGGGCGCCGAGCGGCGTGCTGCCCTTCCGGCCCCGCCTGATGACGTCAGGGTTGGGAGCCGGAAGGACGGACCCACTTCGCAGGGGTGTTCCGCTTTCTCGGGCCCCGCGGAGCCTGTCGGGCCGCAAGGTGAGCGGCTCCCTGGGCCGTGCCCCGCCCCGCCCCGGACTGGCTGGGCCCGGGGCTGTCACTGGTCCGGACCGCGTGGGACCGGCATCCCGAGCCTGTGTTGGGGGGTTCGGGGCCCCGCAGGGCTCTGTCCAAACTGGGGCCAAGGCCCCGCCCGTGTCTGGGGGAGGGGGCAGGGCTGGCCTTTGCCCCCGCCCCCTGGGGTGGGGGTCCGAGGCCCGGCTCTCCCCCGCCGCCCCGTGTCTCGGGGGGAGCGGGTCCGGGGCCTTCGCCCCACTGACGTGTGTGCTGTGACCGCAGGTTCCCGGGCAGGGCGATGACAGAGTACAAGCTGGTGGTGGTGGGAGCTGGTGGCGTTGGCAAAAGCGCCCTGACCATTCAGCTCATCCAGAACCACTTCGTGGACGAGTACGATCCGACCATAGAGGTGAGTCCCTGCTGCAGGCGCTCGCTCGCCCGCTGGGGCAGTGAGGGTTGGGAGGCTGGGCGTGGCAGGCTGGGCGTATGAAGGCAAAGCTTGGTCTGTACAATGCTCCTGAAACAGACGTATTTATTCTTCTGGCTGATTTGACGTTCGGTCACTTTTTGCAGTTGGGCTGTGTTTGCACCGCAGCTTCTGAACCCATTCAGGGAAGTGGCATGGCTCAGAAATAACTAACAAAGTTCAAACGCATTTGTAGTTCCTGTAAACTAGTGCAGCAGGTTAGCAATCCCTCGCCGAGCTCTCCAGGTGAGGCTGACGTAGGCTGTAATGCACTTCTGTGCAACAGGTTTCACTCACCCTTCTCCACTGTAACATACACACAGATTTATTACTTGGGCTTCCCAGGCAATGCCACATTGTACAACCCAGCTAAGTGCTGACAGCATGCTGGACTTCCAAGTTGAGAAATTCACAGTTTTTATTGGTCTTCATGTTCAGATCTACAAAAAGTTTATTTTGAATGTCCACTACTCCGGGTAAACCAGACTATGGCCATTTGAGCTGAAGCAGGTCAGTTGCATGTACCTTAATGTACAGCTTATTTGTTTCTGTACATGATGCTTTACAGCGTAGATTTCCCTCTCTGTGGGACAACTGGAGGAGATGACAAGGACAAGGGAGAGTGCTCTCTGATTATGAAACTATTTGGGAAACTAATATATCCATCATGAGGCAAACAATGGGTGTTGTCTGTATAAGTGGTTCAAGTATCAGTGGTTGTAGTTTGAGCCTCTTTTGAAGGACTATTTTGAGACACAACTATTAAGTGCACTGCAGTACAGGTAGGCACCTGTGTGCATTTCATCCCATATTCATAAAAACAACAAGGAGTCTGTTAGTCTTTAAGGTGCCACCAAACTCCTTGTTGTTTTTGTAGATACAGACTAACACGGCTACCCCCTGATACTTGATCCCATATTCATGTATCCTTTATTTGCTTGTATATGTAATCAATCACTACATGTATTTTCATCATTACTATTTTGCTGAAAGAGGGGGGGCATCCTCTCCATTGCTCTGTCCGTTGAGTAAGTTCTGTGGGGGAAGAGACCACCTTTTTATTCTGTAAAAAGAACAGGAGAACTACCAAATTTCTTTTTGCGGATACAGACTAACATGGCTGCTGCTTTTTGTTCTGTGTTTGTACGGCCCCTAACACAATGGCATCTTGGTCCATGACTAAATCTCCTAGTTGCTACAGTGGTACAACTAATAAAAGTAACTATGAGTAGGGTCATAAATCCGGGGGAAGCACATTCCTGTGTCCTACACGACTGGTTTGATTTGGTTCCCAGGACAGGCTGTCGATGACTTAATGGGGCTTTATTTGGTGCTGGTCTGGCCAGGGTGATCCTATAGTTAATGCAGTAAAATTATCATTAGTTGTATCATTTGAGTAATGTTTTATGAGGTAAATAGCACTGAATTATTTGTTTTTATAGGTGAGACATGCATAAAAAATAAAAATAGATGTAAGTATTTAAAGCAACGTCCAAATGTTGGACTCTTGCTTCTTCTAAAAAGGACATAAACTGGAGAAACCTCTTCTGAGTCATGCTCAATATTAGCTTCTTCTTTCTGGGATTCTGTTTGGGGATTATAGAGTCCACTGTATCTGGGGGCATATTCTCCTTGATGCATGGTACAGAGGTACATCATGGGGGCTATTTTGTGAGATATTTGGGTTTCCTTTGCTGATACATAGTTTTATAACTTCCTGTAGATATACTCAATGAATCACAGCAGAGGTTCCTCCTCCCCCTACAGCAACAGTGCAGTAGAAGCCAGTATTTTGCCTTTCCAGAGGTGAAAGGCCTTTTTGTCACAAAAGTCCATGCTGTGTTAAGGTCACTAGCAATATACCCTGCACTTGAAATGCTTCCTCAGTTAGAGTTCAAGAGAAAGTGGGGCAAGACATGGAACTGTGGCCAGTTTTAGGCTTTAGACTAGGAGGTGCCTTTGAGACACTCACTAATAGAGTCTGAAGTAAGGGATTGCAGCAGCAGCACTAAGTCTTGTCTTTGTTTTCAAAGTTGTCTTTGTATCTCCCTCAGGATTCATATCGGAAACAGGTAGTTATTGATGGTGAGACCTGTTTGCTAGACATTCTGGATACTGCAGGGCAGGAGGAGTACAGTGCTATGCGAGACCAGTACATGAGAACTGGTGAAGGCTTCCTTTGTGTCTTTGCCATTAATAACAGCAAATCATTTGCTGATATCAATCTCTACAGGTACGTTCTGCTCTTCGGGAGGAAGTTTTTCCTAGTTTTATTTTGGAGGGGGAAGGCTGGAGTGGCGCAATCTTCAACTGGCATTGAACATTATTCACCACTGGAATTAGTGGAGACCAAACTTGCAAGACAATCAATGATCTTCAAATAATAAATGCTGGAAAAATTCCATACTGGGTTTCAAAATGCCTTTTAAAATCGGACTCAATGTTTTAGAGTGGTACATAAATTGTCCACAAATGGAGAATGGAACAGCCACCAAGATAGCGTGTTGAAGATTAGATGGTATTTCAGTGGCGTAGCATACAGGACAAGATACCTGAAATAGTAGCAAAGGGGGAACACATCTGGTTTGTAATAAGATGTTGGTTTAAAACTCAGTTTTTGTACAAGAAAAACTGGTTTTTAATGTATTCTTTCTCCAGAGAGCAGATTAAGAGAGTGAAAGATTCAGATGATGTGCCAATGGTGCTAGTGGGAAACAAGTGTGACTTGCCCACAAGGACAGTGGATACAAAACAGGCTCAAGAACTAGCTAAGAGCTATGGGATCCCCTTCATTGAGACGTCAGCCAAAACAAGACAGGTGACAAGCTTCCATTCTTCCATTTCTCTCCTTGGTGCTATAAATATGGTAGCAGCCTGGATTCTGTGTGGTACTGATGGCCAGGGGGTGGAGATGGAGATGTGTAAATCACTTTCCCGTTTTTACCTTTGAGTTCAACCGGAACATGCAGAGTAGAACTTTAAGAACATAAGAAGGGACATACTGGGTCAGACCAAAGGTCCATCTAGCCCAGTATCCTGTCTTCCAACAGTGGCCAATGCCAGGTGCCCCAGAGGGAGTGAACAGAACAGGTAATTATCCCAGTGATCCAGCCCCTGTTGCCCATTCACAGCTTCTGGCATACAGAGGTTAGGGACACCATTCCTGTCCATCCTGGCTAATAACCATTGATGGACCTATCCTTATCTAGTTCTTTTTTGAACCCTGTTATAGTCTTGGCCTTCACAACATCCTCTGGCAAGGAGTTCCACAGGTTGACTGTATGTTGTGTGAAAAAAAACACTTCCTTTTGTTTGTTTTTAAACCTGTTGCATATTAATTTCATTGGGTGACCCTAGCTCTTGTGTTACAAGAAGGAGTAAATAACACTTCCTTATTTACTTTCTCCACACCAGTCATGATTTTATAGACCTTTATCCTATCCCCCCTTAGTCATCTCTCTTCCAAACTGAAAAGTCCATCTTATTAATCTTCTCATATGGTAGCTCTTCCGTACCCCTAATAATTTTTGTTGCCCTTTTCTGAACCTTTTCCAATTCCAATATAACTTTTTTGAGCTGGGGGACCACATCTGCATGCACTACTCAAGATGTGGGCGTACCATTGATTTATATAGAGGCAATATGATATTTTCTGTCTTTATTTAATTTCTTTTGCTCTGGACGATATCAACACCTCAGTGACTCCTCAGGTTCACATTGATGGCCTCAGTAGCTGAATTCTAAAAATGCCAAGTCCTTACCAACCAGATGAGAGTTCAGCCATCCCTCTCTTCTGGAGTAGTTTGTAGTAAGAGCAAATGCTGTTCTTATGAGATTTTGTCCCAAACTGCCAAGTTTCCCTTGGCTTCTAATTAAGGCCAGTGTTGAAGCTAAGTCCGTGACATGTCCTCAGAGCTTGTGTGTTTATATAGAGAACATTCTCCACTTATCGCCCTCTGTTCAGTAGGCTCCCCCAAGTCATTGCTCTATCCACATCGCTTTTCAGAATGAATCTGGAAAGGGGCAATAAATTGCTAAGAAATAGTCTGAAAATGAAACTTGAACAGGGAGGCAATTTGCCAAGAAATAACCCCATTTCCTACTGAGGACATAAGCTTCAGAAACTTACCTCCTCCTATTGCTACAATCAGCCATTGCCTCCATCGTTAGAAGGCGGCTGCTTGTTTATTGTTTCCTCAGAGGTAAAATTATCAAAGTCAAGAATGTAATTGTGGGAAATGTGGGCGTATAGTATTGGTTCCCTGCTGCAGTGAATTGTGGGATAAGTTGGCCCCTGATGCTCCTGGCTCCCGGTTGGCTAGGAGCTGCCCTGGAGAGAGGAATGCATTTTGAGTAAGTATGTCAAAGAATACTTTGGCGGAATAGTAAAATGATGGATGGAGTGCAAAGTGATGTCCAAGCACATGGGGAAGAGAATACCTGACCAGGACTCTTTGCATTCAGGGTGTCGAAGACGCCTTTTACACATTGGTGAGAGAGATCCGCCAATACCGGATGAAAAAGCTCAACAGTAGTGAAGATGGGAATCAAGGCTGTATGGGATTGTCATGCATTGTGATGTGATGAGGTAAGCTGAGATTAAATCTTTCATTTAACTCATATGAATGCATCTATAAATCTTGGCAAAAGTAGATTATAATGGACCAGTTGCCACAGCCTTTGCTGTATTGTAGAACCTGTTGGTTGATGTCCCATAGATTTAACCAGACCTAGAACCAGTTACTTCTCTGAAGTTTGTTTCATCAATTAGGAGCAAAGTTTGAAAGTGAATAGTCTGTTCATGTATCAGAGGGGTAGCCGTGTTAGTCTGGATCTGTAAAAAGCAACAGAGAGTCCTGTGGCACCTTTAAGACTAACAGATGTATTGGAGCATCGTCGGATGCATGTAATGGCAACTCCGGTCTTTGTGTCCCCCCCTTGCCAGCTGCCTCTGTCCTTTGGGAAACACTGGTTTAATCCAGAGAAGCCCAGCACATACTTCATATTTCCTTATTCTCACACCAATGCCACCCATGATCTTCACAGCTCTAAAATTAGCTTTTGCTTGTGACCTGCTTCTGTACAGCTAACATGGGAAGCACGGCTCTGGGGGGAAGGGGGGGGTTGTAATTGCATCTTCACAGGCAACAGAGGGAGAACCATGTGCCATTCTTGGGCAGCTCAAACAAAACTGCAGTAATTCAAACAAATGAAGAATGCTGTGATGGAGGGTTAGATTCTTTCCAACAGCTGTTCCAAAAGCATTGCCCTGCTGAATAAAGTGGGTAGGTTACCCCAGTACTCGTTACACAGACACCCTGTCATATCACATGTCCATCATGAAATAGTATAAAAGCTAATCAAAGATGCTTTTCCCTTTTAGCCACCAAGAATACCTGGTTCAGATGTAGCTGGAGGACAAGTCTTGATGCCACTGTAAAGCATCTCACGATGATACCCTGGTGCCAGCCAAGCAGTATAAAGTCCTTTTCTGTGCTCCATCTGAAGAGAACATCTCTGAACAGCTACCTCCTTGCTCGGCTAACTGAGCAGAGAAAGCCCCATCTGTTGATGCACTTGGGATTTCTTTTTTCTTTTTTTTCCTGGGTAGGTTCAAACAGAAAACTGGTCACAAGAAAAGCGAACTTTAAACACCAAATACTGTGAAAAAGATGACAACATTTTTACCTCTAGAGTAGATGCTAGAAGTGATGTTTGTTTCCTTTGTATCAGATTAAGACCTGGGGAGGAATAGCTCAGGCAGGGAGGGATAGCTCAGTGGTTTGAGCATTGGCCTGCTAAACCCAGGGTTGTGAGCCCAATCCTTGTGGGGGCCACTTAGGGATCTGGGGCAAAAATCAGCAATTGGTCCTGCTAGTGAAGGCAGGGGGCTGGACTCGATGACCTTTCAGGGTCCCTTCCAGTTCTCTGAGATAGGTATATCTCCATATATTATATTATTATTAAGACCTGCAGGGCTAACTGAGAAATGTCACTAATCACTGACTGGCAGATAATGTCAGAAATGGCTTTGCCACTGTTTCTTAATACTCTGCTACCTGTTCCAGATTGGTATCTGCCCTCTGTGTGCCCCACACAACCTACTCACAGCACACCATTGTGTCATGCCGTTTACTCCGATCCTCTATCTTTCTGTAATAAAAAGGAGAGATCTTTGTTAATTAAGTGCCTGCTTGCAAAGGAGCTTTAGAGCTTTTCCCCATTGTCAGACTGAAGGAATTACCAAGGATTCAGGTTCCCTTGAGAGCTGGTGCACTTGTAAATTATCATGTCTTTGAGAAATGCACATGGTCAGTTTATTTGCATGACTGGACTCTGCCTCTTCATCTAGAGAAAATTCCCGGCTGGAAGCTCCAGTAGACATGTGGGAGGAGTTCTCCATGTCTAAGGAGCACAAGGCGATGGATCTGTTTTCTGTTCTGTTTTAGTGGGTAGACTCACGTACATTCCCTCTAGCTTTGTCACTGTGCCAGGGCTTCCTTCATCTCCAGGTAGGACCAAACTAATCAGCTGCTCTTGTTAATGTTGGTTGGAAATATATGTGATCTGCTACTTGACAGGTAACCACACCAGTGAATTTTACTGGTTTGGGTGACTATTAATTGTTCAGATTTGTCTAGAACTTGCAATTCTATTTTAAAATGATTTGCCTCATCACCAAACTTCAAATAAAGCCTCTGTCAAATGAATCTCTGAGAAGAGTAGCTGGAGGACATTCTCAATGGGGAAGGAGTCTTGGATTTCTGACTGGCTTGCACAGTGTGTAGTGTTTGCTCCAAACTGCAGTGCATGCAGTCCCTCCAAAAGTGGGGGAGAAGCTAGCGATAAAATATACCACAGAATCCTGATCTGGCTTCTGATTATGTCTGACTTCAGAATCATCTGTGGCAGGGGTTGGCAGAATGAGGAAGGAAATTCAGTTATCAGCATAGAGAAGTTTTCTTGGTTTGCTGATGGGATTTTGGTGCTTGTTCTACCCCCAGCAGAGTATGACCGAATCCTTGCACAAATCATGGAGATTCTTCCTGGAGCAAGATACCATTTGCTAGTTGGCATGAACTAGGCCTTACAAGTAAGGGCACTCTTGTAATACTCTCCCAGTTATACAACACTCTGGTATGTTGGGTCCTTCACTAGCCAACGTACCATTGGAATTGGACTCTGTGACCAGATGAGCTAAAGTAGCATATTTCAAAACCAGTCGTCATCATCATCATCATCATCATCGTGGTAAATCCCAAAGGGACATGGCCTCCTTGCAGATCAAGTGCCTCCTGGATCAATCTCTGGATAGGACCTTAAGGTGGTCTGGCTGGATGTTCAGTTTAGGTCTATCACTGGCAATTTTATCACACCATTAAAATTTTGGGCACCCACATGATCACTGGCCATCTAGCAGCATTCCTTAGTAAATGTGCTTCAGAATTAGTTGTTTTTTCATACTAATAATATGTCCATATCAAGAAAGCTGCTGGAAAAAAAACAGTGCTGAAGGACGTGGTTGCTGGGTTCAGCTTCAAATGTCTTTGTTTCTGATCTTGTTCTGCTATTTGATACGGAACAGCCAATGAAGACGATGACTATTGAAAATGTCATGCCTATGTTCTTCAGCCTTCTTCAGCCTTCCTCAGCACCCATGTTTCACTTCCGTACAACAGAGTTGATATAACCATGGTTCTATGGATCCACAGCTTTGTAGCAAGCTCGACGTTATGATATCCTCACAGCGGCCACTGAAGGGCCTGAAATGTGGCGTCACGTTCTGCTGTACAAGTGTCCACATCTTTCAAGCATCCTCCAGCACTGTCTGTGACGCTGCCCAATTATCTGACAGCTCCCATCTTTTCAGTATCTCATCCAAACAAATTAATAGTAAACTGGTTGTAATCTGGAGCTGGAGGTTGCTTGATGGTAATGGCCAGGGACCTAATTTTATCTGGATTAATAACCAGACCAATGCCTGCTACTTCTCGCCTGACCAGATCAGCCATCAGCTGTAGATGCACCAGACTGAGCCAACAAGACAATGTCATCTCCGTATTCAAGATCTCGGAGCGCAGTGGTGTTCAGCTCAACGTCACCCACAGCTGCCGCCTCAAGCTTATCCATCAACCAATAGTGCCGAAACGGAACAACAATCATGACTGAACGCAGCCTTGCCAAACTCCTGTGGAGCTAGGAAACCAAGCTGTGTATCTGCCATTGACTCAAATGCAGCTTTCCTTTCCATTATAGAGCTCTTCTGTCAATGACACTATCTTCCTAGGGATGATAAATCACTTCATCAGATCCCACACACTTACTTGAGGCATTGAATCAAAGGCCTGACAGAAGCCTATACAAAGTGTTGTTCAGGGCTTATTAAAGTCAGACACCTTCTCAAAAACCCGTCTGAAGGTAAAGATCTGGTTGACAGTGGAAAAGCTAGGTCTAGAGCTGTAGGGAGTATCCCTGCCTTTGCCATGCAGTCCATTGTTGATTCCAAAGCAAAGTGTGGTTCCAAATCCCATCCAACCTGATAGTGTGTTGGCTCTAGGAAGAGCAGTTGGTGTATAACTGACAGAGGGAGCTCAGAGCCCTAACATGGACCCCACACAGATAGCGGCTGGTGAGGGTTTTGTTTCAGCTTGCTGATAGCAGGATCATAGATTTTACTTTGAGATTTCCTCCTCCAATTAGAAAATGTTGAGAGATAAAGTTAGCCCTTTAATGATTCTTCCATAATCAGCTACATGCCTGCTCTTCCTCCTCAAATGCAGAGGGGAATGCTACTCTAATTACTGTATACCCCCAAATAATCATTGGTGACATTATAATCAAGTGTAGTTCCTAAAATAACTTTGCTTTTAGCTGGTGTGAAACTGATACCTTATTTCAGAGTAAAATCTCTGTACATAAAACATTAGCTTCCAATGATACGCACACGTGCGCAGGGAAGGGCAGCATTATGGAGAGAGCTGCTTCAGATCTGCATGTTGGATTCTTGACTAGGGGTCCTTTTGTCTTGTGATTTCTTGATCCCACTGTTTGAAGTCACAGGTCCCTCCTTACTGGGACAGGTCCAAGAAAACCCTTGATAGTAAAACGTTTACTGTCTTGTCTGTCAGTAACTGGAAATGTGTACATTTTCTTATGTGACAAGATGTAGTTCTTGATTTGCAAAAACACTCCTAAAACCTTGTGCTGGTGGTTGGTTATGTGTCCGGGGTCGGCAGGGGGACACGAGAATTGTGAGTCTGACATAATGTGTTGTCTGCTTTCTCTAAGCAACCATGATTGTGTTCTGAGGTGGCCCTATTGTGAGGACTTTGGGTCTTGTGTCTTGCATCTGCTCAGGTTATTGAAAGTAAGAGCCCACCTGGAAAGATCGTGGGGATGCCCTGTGCAGGAGAGGCAGGTGTCTCTGGCCGCTAAGATTCTTTTAGCCAGGTCTGTGCAAATTTTGTAGATTACCTGGAAATGTGAACTATTTTCTTCTGCCAGACTGTGTGGGAAAAGGGACGAGTGCAGTGTTTAAGGGATCTCTTTAGAAAGTGTGCTGTCAGAGCACACTCACAGGAAAGTATTAAGAAATCTTGTTCCTTTACAGCTGGTATTTGATGTTTAAAGGTCATGAGTTCAACCATATGAAGATTAAATATCCTATTTGGCTGGGTCTGCAGCATGTTAACTAGCTGAAAGTGCATCTGAGATGCATTCTCCCTGTTAAAACAGTGTAACACATGCTATTTGTTGTTAAAAACACACTAACTATGACTCCAGCTTCTGGGAAGCTCTGGAGTTAATGTTTGAGCTTGCAAACTCTATCTACTTTTTCTATAGCCCCCCTAAGTAGAACCCTTCCTGTTGGGAAATACCAAATCGTAAAGTTAATGAGACTGGACAAGGGTTGTGTAATGTGGATTTTACTCTAGGATCCTTGGACAGGGGATTCAGTGGGAGGTTCTGTAGGACTCTCCCAAGGGTTGACCTTCACAGTCTCTGTATCGTATGAGTTTAGAAACAGCTATAGTTAAAGCAGTTCAATCCTCTAGTGTGGCCACAAATATCCCAGTGTGCTGGTGTATGTGAACAGGAATAAGCTGTACTGATAACTGCAAAGAAAGAGTAACTAGTAATTGGAGCAAGGTCTCAAGTGGGGTTTCACAGGGATCTGGTCTGGATCCGGTGGTGATTAACATAGAATCATAGACCTGGAAGGGACCTCGAGAGGTCATTTAGTCCAGTCCCCTGCACTCAAGGCAGGACTAAGTATTATCTAGACCAGTGCTTCTCAACCTGCGGCCCAATCAGCACAGAGCTGTGGTCCATGTGACATCCTCAGGGCCATATAAGTAATAGTGGATGCAGCCCACAATGGTAAATAGGTTGAGAACCACTGATCTAGACCATCCCTGACAGGTGTTTGTGTAACCGGTTCTTAAAAATCTCCAACGACGGAAGGTTCCACAGCCTCCCTAGGCAATTTATTCCAGCACTTAACTACATGACAGGAAGATTTTCCTAATGTCCATCCTAAACCCCCCTTGCTGCAATTTAAACCAACTGCTTCTTGTCCTACCCTCAGAGGTTATGGAGAACAATTTTTCTACCTCCTCCTCGTAACAACCTTTTATGTACTTGAAAACTGTTATAATGTCCCCTCTCGGTCTTCTCTTCTCCAGACTAAACAAACCCAATTTTTTCAATCTTCCCTCATAGGTCATGTTTTCTAGACCTTTAATAAATTTTTTTGTTCTTCTCTGAACTTTCTCCAATTTGTCCACATCTTTCCTGAAATGTGGCACCCAGAATTGGACACAGTACTCCAGTTGAGGCCTAATCCGCACGGAGTAAAGTGGAACGTCTTTATTACAGACCTGGATATAGGAATAAAGAGCATACTGATCACATTTGTAGATGACACAACGAGGGGGGGGGATTTGCCAACACTTTGGAGGATAGAGCTAAAATTCAGAGGGATCTTGATAAATTGGAGAACTAGGCTATAAACAACAAAATGAAATTCAACAGATAAATGTAAGGTACTACATTTATAGAAGAAAAAGCAAATGCACAAATACAGAATGGGGGATAACTGGCTTGGCAGTAGCACTGCGGAGAAGGACCTGGGAGTTGTGGTGGATCACAACCTCAACATGAGTCAGCAGTAGGATGCCGTTGCAAAAAAAGCAAATGCTGTTTTAGGTTGTATTAACAGAGGAATCCAAGTCACGGGAGGTGATAGTACTGCTCTACTCGGCGCTGGTGAGGCCTCAGCTGGAGTAGTGTGTCTAGTTTTGGTCAACAATGTATAGAAAGGATGTAGAGAAACTGGAAAGGATCCAGAGGTGAGTGACAAAGATGATCAAAAGGATGAATTGCAAGCCATATGACCAAAGGCTGAAGGAACTGGGTATGTTTAGTTTGGAAAAGAGGAGATAAAGGGGGGACATGATAGCGCTCTTCAAATACTTGAAAGGCTGCCATCAAAAAAGATGCAGAAAAGTTGTTCTCTCTTGCTACCCAGAAGGCATGACAAGAGGTAATGGGTTCAAACTACAGCAAAGCAAATTTAGATTAAATCTCAGGGAAAAACTTCTTAATTGTAATAACAGTAGGACAGTGGAACAGACTGGCAAGGGAGGTTGTGGAAGCTCCTTCGCTGGAGGTATTCAAAGAGAGGCTGGATAGCCATCTGTCTTGGATGGTTTAGACCCAACAAATCATGCGTCTTGGCAGGGGGCTAGACTAGATGACCCTTGTGGTTCCTTCTAATCGATGATTCTAAAATTCGATAACAAGCTCCAGTATAACTGCATCCACACTAGGGGTTGCACATATTAACTATATGTATTCCTAAACCAGTATTGTTAAAGTGGTTCAAAAACTGTGGCTAAGACCAGTGTGAGGCAACTGACTGTACTTTGCCTCCTAGCTATATTTAACTGTAATCACCTTCATAGAAAGGCCATTAACTCTAACAGCCCCCAGTGCACTCAGGTCTCAGGCACACCACACCAGAGTACATAAGATCTCAAGAGCCCTCTTCCCTGTGTGTTATAACACCTGAAGTGGTGTTGTGACAGGTGCTTTTCTCACCTCAGGAATGTCTGCCTTAATCTATTATTCAGCTGAGCGCCATAAGCCAAACTGAGCACATCCCTCCCTCGTTCACTCAGGGTAACCTGCTGTAGGAGGCTCATTCTGTCCCAGTCCAGAGACTTAGAGTGACAGGCTTGATCAGGGAAATGCATGTTTGGGCAAAAGTCTGGGGCAGGCAAATTGGAGAGACTGTAGATGAGATGGTCAAGTGCAAGCCCAAACTCACTTGGGAGCTAGTTCGTCTGTGTGCTGAGCTCTTACCTAGTATTGCATTCTGTACCATTGCCTCTGCAGCATGAGAGCAGGCCCTTGAGCTATGTCCCTCTGTTGGTGGAAGGCTTCTTCTCTTCTCCTTGCTCTTCTGTTTTGTTTGTTCTCCTTGGTTCTGTTGTCTGGGTCACATCAGGTCATTTCCTAGGTCCTGATCCAAAGCCCAGAAAAGTCCATGGAAAGACTCTCATTGATTTCACTGGGCTTTGAATCGGGCCCATATTACATGGGCTCTCATACTCCATATTGCTCAGTGGTGATCTCCTGCCAGGATAAGTCTGATCTATCTAAGGGCTTTCTAGCGGTTCACTCCTCTTAGCATCAGCACTGACACCATAGCTCTGTTACTACAAACATCAAATCTAAACCAGGTGTGTGGTCATGATGAAACTGGACTCATCCTTATGCACTCTCATTTCTTCTTCTTTCTCTTCTCCCTCCTCCTTTGCATATGTTGCTACCCCATGGGGTGATCTCAATAAAACTCGCAGCAAACATATTTACCTTCCAAGTGTTTCATGGCTGAGCTGTATGTTTGCTGTTCTGATTGTTCTCCATAAATCCTTTCTGGTACTGCAAGCTAGTTGACTGATTCTAACACCCATTAAGAATAAGGTTGCTGTATCCTCCATGCACAACATCCATTACAGAGTGTAATGTGTTTACTGGTTTTGAGTTTTGAGTTGATTTGGGAGAGAGCTAAATGGGGAAAATCTAAGCATATAGCGTGAAACCAGCACAGCACTCATCTTGCTGGTTAATGCTTTTGTCTGCTGGGATTTTTCAAGCTACAAAACCTGATTATTTTTAAAACATATTTTACATTGCATATACATAGCTGTGGCCAAATCTCCGTCAGTGTGTCGTCGGCCACTTGTAGGAGTTCTGTGTAGTGGGGGTGGGACTCAAACCCAGGAATTTTTTAAGGCTAGTTGGGAAGCGAGGGGGCCACAAATCCAAATACAAACAATATTTTAATGTAATTTCTTTTTTTAAGTTAGTCAGTTTAGAGAGTATCAGAGGGGTAGCCGTGTTAGTCTGGATCTGTAAAAAGCAACAAAGAGTCCTGTGAC